ACTTACCCTGTGGGAATTGGTAAATATTTTTGGGCATGATAATCAAAATGATGACGTTTAATGGATTTAAACATATCATCGAAGCACTGAATCAAAGAAGAAAATGGCTGATGAAAACATAATTATTCTTATTATTAGTTTCTTTTATTTGAGGCATTTTATTTTCAACATACCATCTCTTGGAAGCGAAAAAAAAGCCCCATTGACCTAATTCCAAGCATCCTATTTACATCTGAAATAAAATTGAGCTAATTCCACGGATACTGTTCGTTTTCATTGGTCAGAAGAGGGCCATTTGGATATATTTCCCAAACACAATCCTTGCATCGTTCGGAATCTCTATTATAAATATAAATATCAAACCAACGAAAATTGTTTGGCCATGAAAAATTACAATAATATTGCGTCGTTCCCCAAAACATCCTTAGTGGAGATCTTATGCACTCCAAGGTCATCATCTCCTGATTTGCAATGAATGGCAAGCTCTACACCATCACTCAAGCGGTTGAAAATTTTGATATGTTGTTCGCGTGGTAAGAAACGGAGAGACGAAGAAATGGTGAAAGGGAAACAAAAGGTGATTAGGAGGAGGAAGAAATTTCTGGAAAAGAATCCATATCCTTGCTGTGGTTGAGTATAATTATATTCTTATAAAACCAAAGTGATTATATATATATATATATGTGTGTGTGTGTCATACATGTAGTTAGTGAAATGTAACTTGTTGGAATATTTTAAGAAAAGTAATCCATTTTTGCTATTTGATGGTTAATGCTTCGGCTACCTTTAATAATTAAATTCATATTGGTTTGATAGAATGGTAAATAAATTAATATAGCATAGGAAATAAATTAATATAAAATAGGAAATAATTCTAATTATATACAATTCAAATCTTAATAAGTTTTGAAAAGTTAATATTTAAAAAATATAAGATGATTGATGCATCTATTAAGAAAAAAAATTATGTATCCATCAAATGGTAATCAAACTAAACATGATTTGTGTGTGATGTTAAAACAATTTATATGCAGCTATAACTATGCTCACGACTTAGGATTTCATTAACAGTCAAATTTGATAATTATGTACATCCCTAAGCAAGAAAAGGGTTATTGAGGTAGGCAAGAGCAAAAACCCCACCCAGTATTTAAAAATATAAAAACCCCATCGTCCGAATACGATCACAACAAAACCGCATACCCTGAAAACATATTCACACACACACATATATATATATAAAGCAACACTCGGGTCTTAAGCTAAGAAAGATGCAAGAAGGAGGATTACAGCTCAACAAAGAAAGAAAAAATGAGGGGAAAATTAAATAGAGACTAAGGGTCTGTTCGGTATAGCGGTTTTGTGGTAACGGTTAGTAGTTTTACCTAAATTATTAAATACATATGTTTAGTAAATTTATATATTTCGAAACCGTTACAAATAAAGTGTTTAGTAAAATTTTTATTAGCGGTTTGAGACTAACAGATAACGGTTATGATTCAAACTGCTAGCGGTTTGAAAAAATTAGTTTATGGGCTTGTTTGGTATAACGGTTTTAGAGTAGCGGTTAGCGGTTTTACTTAAACCGCTAAATATAGGTGTTTGGTAAATTTATATATTTCAAAACCATTACAAATAAAGTGTTTGGTAAAATTTTTATTTAGCGGTTTGAGATTAGCGGATCGTTATAAGGGTCCAAACCGTTAGCGGATCGTTGTTAGGGTCCAAACCGTTAGCAGATTGAAAAAGTTAATTGATATAACTTTTTGTACCAAACTGCTAGCAGATTAAAATTTTTTAATTTTATTGACAAATTTATCCATTTTAATTTTTTAATTTGTGGTTACATTTTTT